CGACTTGAGACGAGACAGAAACCAGGCTGCGTCAACCTGAAGGTCATGAACTCACAAGGAAGTACGGAGGTCAAGAATCAGAGTCTCTGAAAACATGAAGACATAAAACTACGGCTGTGCTGCCGTGGCTTTAAAGATTTGCATTACGAGAAAGGAGTTACAAATTCAGAAACAATGCATATTTAAAAACAGAAATATGTGAAACAAATAAAACAGAAACTTTCTGCAGACATAAAATAATGTGCAGCAGAAAGTCTGAATCAATGCATGCGGAGGGAAAACATCTTAAATTCATATACAAACTAAAGAGAATCACTTAAAGCACACAACGCTGTGAGCTGCATAATCCAGTCCTCATTACAGAAGGGCTCCAGGCCTGTAGGGGGTGCTAACTGGAACTGGATTTGAAACCCACAACGGTCCGTTTGACAACAGCCAGGTTTTGTTTTCTTCTCGGGTTTGGCTCCTGGAACGCTCTGGGCTGATCCTGCTCAAACTACCAGGAGGACTTTATGTCATGATCAGTGGAAAGTCTGAGCGTCTCACTCCTCATTTGTATGATGCATAATGACAGAAACAAAGCATGGAGACACTCTTAGATCTGCAGCACAGTTTGGGGATAGTTAACCCATTGCATGTGCTTTGGGAATAAGGCAGTTTATTTTTGGCGGCTGTGGCTCAGTGGTAGAGTCGGTCGTCTCTCAACCAGAAGTTCAGGGTTCCAGCTCCTGCAGCAACATGACCAATGTGTCACGGGCAAGACACTAAAACCCCACCATGCTCCTGCTGCTTTAAGTGTGCATGATTGTGATGAGTTAATACTGATGGACTCTGTACTCAGCAGCCTCTACCATCAGTGTGTGAATGTGTAGGTGTGACCTGCGGTGTGAAACCACTTTGAGTAGTCAGAAGACTAGAAAAGAAATATACAAGCTCAAGTCCATTTATCATTTTGTTTCATCTGCACAAAAACAAGTTCCCTTCTATTACTTGAAAACAACCAGAACAAAACCTCAGTGTTACACCTCAAAGGGTCTGCAGCATTTCTAAAGTCTCCTCTGAAAACATTTGAGTCGTGTGAACGCTTAGTGTAAGCGTAGCAAAAGTTATGATGGATGAAACATTGGCACTAAAACTTTACGACTCTTGATCACTCCACAAACATTTTACGAGAGAGTCTGTTACCCCAGGCTTATAAAACAAACACACAGCAAGCATCCTCCAATCAGGAGACTCTGTAGACTCTCACAGCGGCCCTAACCCAGAGTGAGACACAGACTTATGCAAGTTTAATTTCCGGCTCCACTACTCGTATCTTTGTTGAAATAAAAATAACACAATGAAGCTCAAATGAATCTTGAAGTCGTCAATGAGAAGCTAAAAATCAAACAGTAGGAACGAGTCAAACATCTTCAGAACAAATCAAACCACTACTCCTAACTCTGAGTTCAGCTGAGACCTCAACAGAAGGAACAAAACCTCAAACCAAAGACGAGTCCTTGTTGTAAAGCTCAAAGGACGAGAAGACAAACAGACGTTGAGGGGAACTGTTTGGAGGAGAAGAGGCGACTGATGAAAGTCTGTGAGCAACGGGGAGAACTTAGAGCTGCATGGATGAAATTGAAGCAGCCAACATGGCCGACGTACGGCGAGCAGCAGATTCAGAGAACAGAGACTGATTAAGACATTTAGCAAAGTGAGCGTTCATTATTTTCACTCTGCTGTTCTTTGATTTGAAGTCAGAATGATTTCAGTTTCTTAAATATGAGCTTCAGTTATCTTCACACACAGACAGTCGCTATAGAAACGTCCTTCAGAGACACTTTGTAACTCTGACACTGTGAGGACATCTCAGAGCCGAAACTGAGGAACTTTAACTCTCTCCCTCTCTCTCTCCTGTTGTCTCTTCACCCCTCAGACAGCCACGTGGGCGTCATTTAATCTTCTTCTTGTCCCGCTCTGTTCCTGCAGATTTCCTGCCCACTCGCTCTCCTTTCAGACCCTCACTGATCATTAACCTCCCTCCTTGTCGCTCGCCCACGCCGCTCGTCCTAATTCAGTCCCGGCGGCGGGGTGGCGTTGCTTCTGCTGTCACAGCCTCCAGAGGAGAGAAAGTAATGACGAGTTGATTAAGAGGCACGAAGAGGAGAATTTCTGTTTGAACTTTTTTTGCCCTTTACGGATAAAAATCAACAAAAAAGACTGAAAAAAAAAAGTTCTCCTGTAATTGATAAAAACTGAAACAAGACATTTGATGAGTTAGAATCAGAAAGTGGATGTGAGAAGTGTCCTCTTGTTCTCGGCTTCGGGCCTTTGTTTCCTCACATTCACAGAGAGAACATTGTGCTGTCGCCGTGCTTCCTGCAGGGAACGTCCCACCAGAAGGCCTCCTGTCTGCTTTAACCGCATTTCTATAACAGATCAGCTCATTCAATTCAATTAGCAAACACACACACACACACACACACACACACAACACACACACACACACACACACACACACACACACAACACACACACACACACACACACACACACACACACACACAACACACACACACACACACACACACACACACACCACACACACGTTCTGCATAAGAAATCTTTGGAAATGATTCCGCAAAAGTCTGCAGGACGGTGCTCTGTGATCGATAAGACACCTTCAGATCCATTAAAAGATTTTGTTCAGGCTGAAAGGAAAACGTGCAGAGAAGAGATACGGTCGGATCGATGACGTGTGAAGAGACGATCAGAGCTCAAAGAGGAATCAAAAGAGAGAGGAAAGATGAAGCCACAGTGTCCCTGAAGAAAATCTGAATGGACGAAGCGAGCTTTAGATTTTGTGAAACTTCATCAAAGGCCTCAACATTTTACCTTCATCAATGAACAACATCACATCCTGAACATCCGCTCAACAAACTCTCTGTGTTTACTTCAGTTCTCCTCGCCTTCACTTCACTGACTTGTACTTGTTGCAGGTGTGTGAGCCTGTTTTTGTGTTGTCTTGTGATCTACTCTGTCACTCTGTATTACGCGTCTCGTTATGTTGTAGCTGTAATGTACCTAATGTACTGGGGGGGGGGAGATGTCACTCACTCTGCACACGCTCCGTTACATCTCAGAGGACACATTATAGTAGAGTCATAAAAGTAGGTTTATCTGCACACTTAGTGGAGCATGTGGCTCGTGTTCAGAGGCAAAGTCCTCGCCGTTTCAGCTGAAATTTGGACTCCAAACCTCGGCCCTGTAGTGCTCCCCCCCCCCCCTCTATTTCCTGTGTTTTCTGTCCCTTCAGTTGAACTATAAATAAAAAGCAAATCCAGATAGTACATGACGATGTGTCACAGCTAACATCAGAAAGTTACAGGAAGTTGTTGCAGCTGTCCCAAACTTCATGAAAATAATAATGATTAATAATGTTTATATTTTATTAATCTGCAGAGTTATTAATGATCTATTTTTCTTTCTCTCACGATGAGCTGTAAGGATTGATAAACATCTGCAGCATCTGTTTAGTGTTGACCCTCCTCTTTATAATTATTTGATTCTGAATCATTATTTGCTCTCTCTCTCTTTAGTTTCTTCATTCTGCTTTAGTCATGTCGTGCACTCTGACGCTCAGAGAGATGTTTCACACACTGACGCTAAAGAATTTAAAACTGTTAAATCCTCGAGATCTGAAACAGCACAAATTAAAATACTTAAACGATGCTGTCTTAATGTTTGATAAAGAAACTGTGTGTGTTCAGGGTAATATTCTTACTGCTTTACTGATCTGCTCTGTAAAATGTGATTTATTTCTAAAATGCTGCAGCTGTCTCAGAGCTCTGGTTCTGTTTTAAACTTCTTCCATATGAATAAATATTGTTAATATAAATGAATCACCTTTGAACGATAAAGCAGACAAACAGTTGAATGTTTTTAAATGTGTTTCATATCTTTAAAAAAACCTGAGAGTGATTTAGAGAAGAGCAGCAGCTGAGTCTGCCCTCCAATACTCCTCTCTTTACTGATGAATGAATATAAATATAATAATATAAATATAAATAAAGTGTTTGCAGAGTGAGTACTGTATGTGTGTGATTGGTGGGAGCAGCAGGCCTCTCTCTGCTCCTCTTTTCTTCTCCTCCTCTCTCTCCTCTCTGACAGATCCGACCTGATATCAGATTGATGGCCCGCTTTGATTGAAGTCTCTTTGTCGTGCTAATGTCACGGCGAGTGATGGATGAGGCGCGTGCGTCAGGAACAAACGTGCATGCGCGTAAAACTCCACTTTTAGAACCGAAAAGGACCCCCTCCCCTCCTGTACACACAAAAAACACACACACACACACACATACACACATACACACAGGTCCCCCCGCTCCTGTGACCGACTCACAAACTTCTGGCCTCCGGTCACCAGGCGACGTGACGTAAACCACGTCACACGAGGCAGAGGTAAGAAAAGAAGTGACACGGAAGAGAGAGAGAGAGAGAGAGAGAGAGAGAGAGAGTCACAGAAAAGAGAAGAAGAAGGTAAGGTGGAGGCCGGAGTGTAACCTGTGAGGGTGAAGAGGTGACCGGACACTCTCTCTCTGTGTTCTCGCGGTGTTTCAGCTGTCACACACTCACTCACGTGCAGGTTGAGTTGAGCTATTGACAGGCCTCCAAACACACACACACACACACACACACACACACATCGACACACACCACAGCAGAGCACATTATTCATGTGTGTCGGTCTGAAGGCTCCACTCTCCATCCTCCTCTCTGGAAGTTTCTGCTGCTTTTATTTATTTTTCTACATTGATGAATAGTTCGTTCTTCACGCGCCTCGACGTTAATTTCTTTTATTTTCATGTTGTGACGTTTTTTCTTCTGGTTTGTGTCATTCAGCGGAAAGATTTCAGACCATCAACACTTTTTTTTTTTTTAAATATCTCTTGAGGATTTTTGTAGCTACTTCCTGTTAATTCATCTCCAGAAGCGGATCATCGTTGCTCCCGGTCTGCATGGACAACATGAACTCGTTTGTGGAGTACTCCATCTGTAACCGACCGGGCACTGGCGCTTATTCTGCGCCTAAATCTGGATATCACCACCACCACCTTCACCACCACCACCTTCCACTGGAGCAGCACCAGGGCTTCCCGGTGACCTCCGGTGCTTTCCACACAGCACCCACAGTCTCTGCAGCTTCCGTTAACAGCACGAGGACTGACAGCAGCACCGGGGGAGCGGGTTACACCGGGGACACGCGGCTGTACGTGGGAACCGGAGGGACAAATGAGGCGAGCCAGCATCACCACCAGCATCACCATCACGAACAGCAGCAGCAGCAGCAGCAGCAGACTCACAACGGCTACCATCATCATCCTCACCTTCACCAGACACAAACCGGGATAATGTCTCCGTATAACACCGGGAACACCGGTGCCTACGCAGGCCAGCCGTGCCAAACTAACTCGGATTACTCCCCCACCACCGTGCACTCCCAGTACTTCATGGAGGAGTCTGCGGCCTCCTCCTACTATCATCAATCATCCTTCCCCAGCGCGGCCCCCACAGTCGGGCCCAGCTACGGGGCCCTGGCCGGGGCCTACTGCGGGCCTCAGGGCGCTTTGGCCGGGCCCCAGTACCCCCAGCAGCTCGGTGGGGGTCTGGACGCAGCGGGCTACCTGGGACTCACACACGGGGGAGGATACGGGGAGCTGCCGGCCTCCCAGGACCGAGAGAGGGGGGAAGAGGAGGGTCAGCAGGCCGGGCAGGGGCAGACCTTCGACTGGATGAAGGTGAAGAGGAACCCGCCGAAAACAGGTGAGAGAGGGAGGGGGGATTTGGGGCATTATTTTGGTTATTTTTAAGGTTAAATACAGATTTGTGTGTGAGGCAGTGTGCCCTCTCCTTCATTCATCACTGTGACCGTCATGCAGGCCGAAGATCCAATCCCAAGCAGCTTATTTCAACAATGAATCTTCGTTTATAAGAGAAAATCTAGAGTTTACAGTCTGCGTAATAATGAAACTTATTGGCCAAATTAAGAATGATTTTGTAATATTAGTGTTTCGTGTTTATGACCTCTGATTCCTCATCAGATGTTCCTGCAGGCCTGAGTTTGTCTGCAGATGTTGTCTTTCTGATGTTAATGTTACTTTCAGTCTCTTCTTTTCTCTTGTCTCGATCACTCAGGTCTGAATTCGTTACACTCTAAAATAACTGAAAATTAAGACTTTAAAAAATAAACAGAAAACATGTTTAAAGAGACGCTTTAAATCACGTTGTCTATGTGTCTGTCCAACACGAATTATTATCATATTATGGCCTTTATTTTTCACACATCTTAATAATGTAATAAAGAAGTTTATTTCGCTCTAAATTAATAATTTCTCCAGAGAAAATAAACACATTTGAGTTTTATGAATTACATTAAAGTACATTTAGGGATAAATAAATAAACAACATATAAATTAATAAATTATAGAAGAAGCATCACGATGGAAGCTCTCAGTAATAATGAAAAGAGAATCATAAAATGTCTCCATCATTAAACTCATAAACATTTTCTTTAAATGTTGAATTATTAGTGTGAACTCTGATTGGTGCTCTGACTGAACTTCAAAGAGGCCGAAACATTTTTAAAATAGTTAAAAACACTTTTAGTGATTCAGTCTCTGCAGTCACATGTTAGTACAGATTCTGCTCCAGACGTGCATGTGTGTGTGTGTGTGTTAATGGATATAACAGACGGGCTATTTCAGCCTGGAAAGTCTGTCCAGCTCTGTTATCTTTTACCCCCCCCCCCCCCCCCACTAAGCCAGAACACCCCCCCAGCTTCTCCATCTCTTTGTTCACTCTCAGTCTTCTGTATTTCCCTCTTGACGACTCTGTGAAATTATTCGGTTGCTCTAACATTCAGATTTTGATCTTTTATTCGAGATCATCAAACATTATGAATCATTTTGAGATCCGTTCATTTAAACCAGAGCGCACGCGCCTTATGTGAATTAAACACCCAATAAAAACAATTCAACACGATTTAATCAAAATAAATCAAGACATCAACTGCTAACCTACAAATCCATGACAAAGGAACAAAGGGGGGACGGGGTGTTTCCTGAAAACATTTAAATCTGGGTGCACAATAAACTGGTAGAGCTCATAAATATATTCACATATTCATATTATTTTATTATTCATATATTTATTATAAAAATATAATAAATCATAATAACAGTCTCTCTCTCCTCATATATTTATTATTTATATATTTATTATAAAAATATAATAAATCATAATAACAGTTTCTCTCTCTCCTCACAGCCAAAGCGGCAGACTTCGGCCTCGCGGGCGCACACAACAACGCCATGCGCACAAACTTCAGCACGCGGCAGCTCACGGAGCTCGAGAAGGAGTTCCACTTCAGTAAATACCTGACGCGCGCGCGACGCGTGGAGATCGCAGCGACGCTCGAGCTCAACGAAACGCAGGTGAAGATCTGGTTCCAGAACCGGAGGATGAAGCAGAAGAAGCGCGAGCGGGAGGGCGCGTGCTCATCCACGGCGCGCTCATCTTCCTCCAACAAGGAGCTGGAGGACACGGACCAATCCTCCGCGTCCACGTCACCGGGCGCGTCCCCGAGCTCAGAGACGTAGGTGCCATGCAGACGTGTAAAGACATTATTGAATGAATTCTCTGTTTGGGGAGAAATCTCAAAGACTGATGAGGGACTTCCTTCAGATCTCAGCCTGCTTCAAAGGTATGCTTCAGTTTCCTACATGTCCCAGAATTCTTTTCAAAAACCAGCCAATCACCTGGACTGAATCAGTTTCAGAGAGTTAAAGAGACTGTCACACCTTAATCAAATCCTCGTTTTCTGCTTCTGTAAGTGATGATTTTATCCAAACAGGAGAGTAGGACCCTGAAAAGCTGGAAAAGGAGCCACTAAGAGCAAACAGACTTTAGATGATGCAAAGTGTGGAAGCTGGAGGAGAGTTAGAGGCGTCCGTTAATTTTAAACTTTTAAATTTAAAACCACTAAAGTCGCACGATAAGAGAAACGAACAGACTAAATGAGGCAGCTGCAGACCAACAACTCCTTTATTCTACAAGGTAGAATGAGTGTTTTTCTCAATGGAGTCTGGAAGAGAAGAAGACGAGAGAGATGTCAAGATTTGTTCCTATTTAGACCACTAAATACGATATAATACGACCAAGATTACAAACTCTGAATCTTTCCTCTAAGTGTTCAGACACCACAGAGGATGTTAGTGAACCTCTGGATCTCTGTGCAGACATGGGAAATAAAAAAAACATGCAGCATTAGAGACCAAGGAAGAGTGGTGAGAGGAGTCCTGCAGCTTGTGCTGACAGAAACCATGATTTTAAGATGTTAAAATAAAATGTTATTTTAGCAAGATGATGATGATGGGACGCACTTTGACATCTTTGTATGATATCTGGTTTACAGGGTTTCACTGATACTGAGTTATAAAATATGATCGTTCCTGCTGATATTTCAATTTCCTCTCTGAAAAAAGTAGATCGATGTGGTGGATTCAACGTGAAAAGGATGTTTTTATCGGCCAGTAGACCCGGAGTACAGGGAGCCTCTGACGGCTAAATCACACTTTGATTCTCTCTGACTGGAGCTAATCATGTTCCTTTTTATAACCTCTTATATTTGTTTAAGTTGTGGTGTCCTGAGTGCTTTTGTGTGTGCATGTTTCAGCGCACACAGCCTTGACCTTTGCACTACGTGACTACAGGGTCGTTTAAAAACATGAAGCAGGAATATTCTGCTTTCTCCAGTTTATAAAGAAATGTTAAAAAAACATTACAGGATTGTGTCTTAAACATGTTAGATAGACTCAGGGGTAAATCTGGAATGTGTGTGTGTGTGCGTGCGTGTGTGTGTGTGTGCAGGAGACTACTGATCTAAGCCTGTGAAACACGTGTCCTTGCTGAGTGAGTAAAATGGGGGAAATATATTTCACTGCCTTTCTTTCCCCTGTGAGAATAAATTATTGGCTGCATTAATGTTATAGATGATGGGGAAGAGTTTTTGAAAGGCTCGGCCTGAACTGTGAACTGATGTGATTTTTACGATGATCTTTGTAGTTTTGAAAACCAGCGCAGACTGACTGAGTTTTATCAGTTCTGCTGCCTTAGAAACACTTCCAATCATTCTGCTGTTTGTCTTTTTCTACTTTAAACTACCTCAAATAAAGATTCTTCTGACAACTAACTGCATGGTTTATTCTTTTTAAGATCAAAAATGTTGATTCACAAATAATCAAGCAACAACCTCCAGGGCTGAGAAAAGGAGAGCCCTGCTATAGTGCCAAAATCTGCAGTTCCTCCAGTGTCCACTAGAGTCTGTCTCCTGCAGTGAGTCAGTCTCCATAGAGCTCCATGTTAAAATAAACATGTTTACATCCTGGTATAAAAACTGTTTGGGTCTCTAGATCTCATTTCTCTCTTCAACTGTACAGGCTGAATGTTTATACAACTCACCTGTTTACATTATATTAAGGCTTAAAGGGTGTAGAATTAGGGGGCGTGGCCTCTTTGAGTGACAGGTCGGAGCTGCTACCTGTCTGCTAGGTGTCTCCTCAGCTCATTCAGTCCCTGACCTTTAACCTCTGGGCAGTGTTTGTGCTGTTGGAGCTTTTTGGAGATTTGTTGATGTAAATATCAGACTAACAATCTGTCTCTCTGTGAGCTTTATTGGACTAACAGACCATCCAACAAGTCTGAGCTCCACGTTTTACAACCAGTCACATTAGAACTGCTTCTTTCCACAAACTCTCTTAGCTTCTTAATCTAAAAAATAACTCCAGTCAGTCATCGCCTTAAATACGATCTCATTCTGTGGGGAACATGATGGTTAACTAACTCATTCATCAGCTAGTGAATTAGCCACAAGCCTCTCGTCCAAATGTGGTCACTTCTGGCTCCAGACAACAAACATGGCGGCCAAAATCTCCAACGTAAGGGTTCAAAAATGCAAACTACAAACCAACAGAGGAAGTCAAGGCGTTTTTCTGTGGCATTGTGTGGTCAGAAGGAGATAGTGAAGGAGGAAACAAGGAAATGATTAAAGAGGAAAAGGAGCTAGTTGTTTCCTCATCATGGATTAAAGAAGCACACACACACACACACAACACACACACCTTCATGCAGTATTCCTGCGTCTCACACCCACAGGTCTGCGTGGCCTCTGTTTGACCCCACACACACACATGCAGGGTTACAGTGAGGAATGTGGAGGGGCTTTCCGGGTGGCTCCCTGACCTGTTGACCTCTGGAGAGCCTCTGGGATATCTAAACATGTAAACACACACCTCCCTCTCCTCCTCACTGCTGCTCTAAAGATGGCTGACCTGGAGCCTGGGTGGCAGCTCCATCGTCACCTCATCACACACACACACACACACACACACACACACACACACACACACACACTCACACACACACACACACACACACACACACACACACACACACACACACACACACACACACACACACACACACACACACACACACACACACACACACACACACACACACACACACACACACACACACACTCTCCTCAGGTCGTCTTCCACACTCACACCTCGTCTGTGCAGCAGCAGTCGCTCTCTGATGACGCGACAGAAGTTACTTTTAACCTGCTCGTCTTCAGGTTCAACAGGAACCTGTGTTCAGCTCTGATTTTCTCTCTCTCTCTCTCTCTCTCTCTCTCCTCGTCGGGACTCATTGCTGCCTATACGTTTGTCTACATCGCTGTTCTTAAATGAGGAATAATAAAACCCCTCGTCAGTCACGACAGAGATCGATCTGATTAATATCAGCTTTAACATTTCTGCTGACGCATGTAGCAGCCATGTTGGATTTTAGCTCAGATATCATATAACTAGTACTATGTTTTAATTCAGTATAGTAACAGATGATTATGTATTTGTTGTTGTTGTTTATGGCATTATTGAATACATTCTATGAAGCAGTAAGAATCTCTTTGAGTTTGTGCAGAGGAGGGATGTGAACAGACTCCAATAAATGACAACATGAGACCGGAGGGTTAATCATGATCATCACATGAAGTTTTCACTGTTCACACATACAGACGTCTCTCTGAACAAATACCGTAAACAAAGGGCTTTATAAGATAAGATGTGATCATAAGGAAAGAGAGAGAAAAGGAGGAAGACGAGGAGGAAGGAAGGGAGGAAGAGGAAACAGAGCGAGAGAGAGAGAGAGAGAGAGAGAGAGACCACGTGATGAAGAAGAGATTCTTAAAGGGTGACCTCATACCGTCTGACCCCCAACTCCTGTTTTCCTTTCCATAACTCATCTCAAGTTCAACACACACACACACACACACACACACACACACACACACACACACACACACACACACACACACACACACACACACACACACACACACACACACACACACACACACACACACACACACACACACACACACACACAATGAGCAGTTGAAGATAAAGTGGTGTGGCTGCAGTTCAACAGTTCAGAGTCTCAATCAAATAGATGAGGGAATACACACACACACACACACACACACACACACACACAGACACACACAGTGTGAAGGATATCCTAAAATGCCAGCTGCTTTAACATGATTTGATTTTATTCTTTTGTCGTGTATAAACAACATGAGCGCAGTAGAAACTTAAAAAAAATAAAAGTAACAAAACAAAACATCGTGACGTTTCTTCAGGCGTTAGAGACAAACATGGCCGACTTATTATAAAACATTGAACTTTGTGTTTCATTGGCTCCACAAACACCAACTAATATATTATATTTAATAATAATATATATAATATAATAACTAATATTTTAATGACATGCACTGTCAACATATATTTAAATGTTTCTCTGTTATGTATTATTTATTTATATGTTAACATATTTATCATAATATTCTTTACATTAAACACTTTCTTCTCAAACATCCGTCTGACACAGTTTACGTATCTTTAAGCTTCTTATTCAGATGTTTTATAATGTGTAATATGAATAGTGTGTTTGTCTTCAAAAAGCTGCAGAAAGTATGCATAGTTCTCAGGTAAGTAATATCAATCCATGGATTATAATTTATTACTATAATAAGATTAACTGATTTAGTGTCATGCAAAAACATCAACATGGAAACATTTCTTAATAAAGTAAAAAAAAGATTTAACAGAAATCTCAGAGAAAGCTCTCTGACTGGCCAACACTCCAGTGTGAATGTGTTTCTTTGTGTGTGTGTGTGTGTGTGTGCGTGTGTGTGCAGGGTCACTCAGAGTTCATTAGCTCTTCTTTCTGCAGCCTGCTGAGCATCACTCCCCTCACTCCCTTTACGTTTCCCCTCTTAATTTTAACACAAATATCTACTTTCTGCTTCTTAAATCTTCTAACCAGACCTGCTCTAACTTCAGAGCACCAGAGGAGATCATTATTTTTATTTTGCACGCCGACCACCCCGACATCAAGACTCATTTCAAACCGAGAGTTTCAGGTTACATAATTTACATATTAAGCAATTCTACAGGTCTGTTGGGCAGTGGGCCCACCAGAGAATAAACCTTCACAGAGGCAAATAAGGTGGTGAAAATAATGATTGTTG